GTTTGTGGCCTCGCCTGCCTCTGAACAGAGCTTCCAGCCCAGACCTGGACCCCAGACCCCGTCCCAACCCCCACCAGCACCCCCTTTCCCTCCGATGCCTCGAGCTGCTGAGTCCAAGGAGCTTGTTTACCCTCCCCACTTACCACAGGGCTTTGGACGGGGTGAGCAGAGCTGTCCGTACCTGGTGTGAAGAATTAGCCAAAAGCAGATGAGTAGATAAACAAGACGTGATACATACATGCAATGGGATAATATTCAGCTTTGAAAAGGACGGAGCTTTTGATGCATGCTACAACATGGGCGAGCCTTGAGGACACTGTGCTCCATGAAATAAGCCAGTTCCAAGAAGACAGATATTGTACGACCCCACCTAGGTGACAAGGCGCCTAGAGTGGTTGAATTCGTAGACACAGAGCAGAATGGTGGCCGCCAGCAACTGGGGTGAGCGGGGGACGGGGGGCAGGGGAGGGTTGATAGGTACAGAGTTTCAGTTTTGCAAGATAAAAATACTTCTGAAAATCGGTTGCACAACAGTGGACATGTATGCAACACTACTGAACTACCTGTACACACAAAAATGGCCACGATGGTAAACTGATGGCAATTTAAAAATAAAAATAAAAATGAATAAATAATAATAATTAGCTTCACACGGGACCAGCAAAGGTTGAAAGCTCTCTGGGCGCTGGAGCCCAGTTATCCCTGCTCCCCCTGCAGCTGGCTCTGGTGCTTAGCTGGCAGCTCCAAGACTTAGTGGCTTAAAGCAACCGCCACTTGTTTAGGTGAGGATCTGGCCTGCTGTTTGGGTCGGGCTCCGCTGGTGCTTGGCGGTGGGGAGGGCTGGCTCAGCTCTGCTCCAGGAGGTCTCTCTGCACCCAGCAGACCAGCCCAGACCTGTTTAGAGGGTGGTGGTGGCCGGGGTCCCAAGAGGACGAGCCAAAGCAAGCAAAGCCCTTTGAGGCCATGGCTCGCACCCACGCACCTAGTCTATGGTCCGAAACCAGTCACGGGGCCCGTCAAAATTCATAGAGTGGGGAGGTGGACCCAGCGAGAGGCTGCAAAGAATGTTTGCAATCTGTCACATACAGTGTGTGTGTGTGTGTGTGTATGTGTGTAATCAGACCCTGTGCTACATGTTGAAGATTAAAAAAAAAAATAAAGAAAAGCCCTAACTGGTTTGGCTCAGTGGATAGAGCATTGGCCTGCGAACTCAAGGGTCCCAGGTTCAATTCCAATCAGGGGCATGTACCTTGGTTGTGGGCACATCCCCAGTAGGAGATGTGCAGGAGGCAGTTGATCAATGCTTCTCTCTCATTGATGTTTCTAACTCTCTATCCCTCTCTCTCTCTTCCTCTCTGTAAAAAATCAATAAAATATTATATATATATATATATATATGAAGAAAATACCATGCCGTGTGGGAGGCATGTAAGTAGATCATTGGGGCACATAGGATGCTGTAACGGCGAGCACAGGGTTCTGGGGAGCCTGCCCGGGAGGGCGGAGGACCGGGGACGGAACAGCCTTGAGGGGTGTTGAAGAACACGTGCTGATTGGCCAGAGAAGACGGGAGGCAGACAGACCTGGGCAGAGGGGCAGGGCCATAAGTGAAGGCCTGGAGGGGCCGTGCCTGGGGAGGCTTCAGGGGGAGAGAAGGGCAGCCCTGGAGGGGAGGACAGGGGCGGGGAGGAGCGTGGAGGAGGGGGTGAAACAGTGGCTGATGGCTGGATTGCTGTGTGGAGCACATCCCATCCCACAGTGGGGGCAGCGGATTCTACGGCTGCTGGGTGCTGGGTGCTGGGTGCTGGAGGAGTGCACTCCGATGCCCCAGCTCTGGCCAGGCTCCACCCAGGCCTGCAGACCATCCCCCCTGGGCACAGCGGCTGGGAGGCATCCCAGGAGCCCACAGTCCCCCAAGCCCCGCAGGCATTAAGGCATTGTCCTCTGTGGAGACGGCGTGGGCAGGAGGGCAGCTGTGCCCAGAGCTGGCGCTGGCTCCCTCCTGTAGATCCCAGGTCGCGCTGCCCCAGAACGCCGGCTCCCCGTCGGGCACTGGGCCGGTGGCCATGAGCGCAGACCGGCTGATCGGTGCTGGGAATGTGCGTGGGGCCTGCTGGGAGGAGGAATCCCCTGGTGAGCACTTCCCCTAATGGAGACATTCTTCCGAAGCTGATAATCCGGCTGTCCAGCCCAGGCTCCTGCACCCGGGAGCAGAGGGCGCCTGCCGCCACCATGACCTGGATCGCTGAGCACCTTTCCGGATGCTCCCGGAATTCCCCAGGAGGAGCGCGGCTGCGGGGGCTGGGACCTGGGTTTGGGAGCAAAATCTTCCCCAAGCAACAGCACGCCCAGGGCCCATCGGGAGCGGCGGGCTGATTGCGGCTGTGTGTTCCCGGCTCCCTGAGCAGGGCTGGCGCGGCAGCGGGCGGGCAGGCGGGCGGGCGCGGCTGCATCCATCACTCACGGCGTGTGAACACCGGGGGCATCAGAGCTGGTCCCCTCGGTGCTGGAGGGAACGGTGCCCGGGGTCACACCGCCAATTAGTGGCGACCTTGGGATGGGAACAGCGTCCAGGTCGGTGGCATCCCAGCCCGGAGCTCTTCCCCAGACGCCGCTCCACTCCGGAGGTGGCCCCGCCCCCCTGGCTCAGGGTTCGGGAGGGAATTCAGCTGGTGGCGCTTTTGAAAGCGGATGTGTGAGCGTAGCCATCCAGCCTTCACCCGGCCTGGCCTGCCGTCGCCCCGAGCTGTCTCTCTGCGCCCAGGCTGTGTGCTCTTACCCCGCAGGTGCCCACAGCCCTGCCTCCAGCCTGGGCACAGCCTCCGCCTCCTGCACCCTCCAACCCCCTGCCCCACAGGCCCTAACCCTGACCCCAAACCACACTCAGCATCCCGCCCTTCCCGCCCTCTCCATCTCCGAGGGCCACACCATCCCCAGCCTCGGTGCTCAGCTTGCTCTGTCCCCCTGTGACCTATAATTCAGGCCTCTGTCAGTTCTCACTTGGATTACGGCGCCATTGCCACCATCCGCAATCACCCGGAGCCTGCCAGGTGTTCCTTGGGCCTCTCCGCGTGTGCCAGCAGCTGATAGGGGTGTTGATTTGCTTTCCCGAAGTCACGTGGCCGATGGGAGGCAGAGTTCAGGTCCTCCAGGCCTGACCGTGAGGCCCAGCTTCTTGCCTCCAGCCGTCGCTCCCTGTCTTGCCTCCTACGTGGCTGCCAGAGTGACGTGTCTGAAGCCCAGGTCTAGCCCTGCCACTCCCTGCACGGGTCCCCGCGGCCCCCTGGTGCCCAGAGGTTAAACTTGAGTCCCCTCGAAAGGCTCTTGAGACCTGGCCCTGCCTGCCCACCCGTCGCATCCCCAGTCCTCCCCGGGCCTCTGTTCCCCTGTATCTGCCCCCCAGCCCTTCCCTGCCCTCCACTTGCCCTGCTGCTGGTCTGAGCACACCTGCGAGCAGCTTTCCAGAGGCCTCGGCAGCGCCCTCTGCAGGTGGCCCGCTGCGACGCCAGCCTGGCCGGATGTGGGGATGGGGGCGGGGGTCAGTGACTTGCCATTGTCCCCACACCTCGGTCCCCCCGCGTGGGTGTGCTCACCGTCTGCCGTGGTCTTCGGCAGCCAGAGGCCAGGAAGAGCCTGCTGACCTCAAGCCCCGGGCCCCTGAGTTCTGGGAATAGAGTGGAGCCTGCACCCCCATTTCACAGATGGAGAACCAGAGGCTCGGGGCGCGTGGGGGCTTCTCCAGGGGCATTCCGGTGTCAGAGGCAGCGCTGGGCTCAGCGGGCATCTTGGCAGCAGTCAACGCCGCCCGTGTGGGCAGATGAGTAGCCAGCCTGGAGGTGTGGGCTCTGGGAGCGGCTTAGCGAACAGGGCTCCGTTTCGCTGACCACCTTCTCCCACTCACCGGCCAAAGGACATACCCTGCCTGGCAACAGTCCACGTCATTCTGGACCCAGCACCGGGGCCTCTGCTGTCCAGCTGCCCGCAATGCCAGGGGCAGGCTCTGTCCAGGGCTCCTGGGCCAGGCAGGCCAGGCGAGGCTTGTGGGAACACCCGTCACCCTAAGGCCCTAACCTTTGCAAACAGAAGCATTTCTAGAAAGTGAGCAGGATGGTGTCCAGCCTCTCCTCCTTCCCCCCTCTGAGCCTGGAGCTGGGTCTGGGAGAAGCTCTGACCGCCCCAGGTTCGGAGCCCGGCCCCAGGGCCGAGACACTGGGCAAAGGTAGGTGTGCCTCTGGGTGGGCAGGCCCCACTGGGGCTGCAAGCCAGGTCCCCCCACACACACACACCCCCTCCCGTGCTGAAGCCCCAGGCGAGGGTGGGAGCCCTGAAGGGCCCCAGAGCGGGGAGGGAGCAGGGCCAGACAGTCTCAGTCCCTGGCTTGCTCCCCCACAACCCCCCTCCACCCTCCCCTTCATGCTCACCCCTCCCCTTCCCAAGAAGCTCTCCCAGCCACGGCCGAGGGTCTAACAGGGGGACGCTGTTTTTGCAGGTTCTGTGGTTTCTGTTCCTTTGAGCCATCCCAGCCCATCCTCCATCGCAATGCCACGCTTTGCTTGGCATCAAGCCCGTCGGCATCATTGGCCTTTGGAGGCCTTGTTGCGTAGCGACACGCAGTCCCTCACTGTCTGTGATACCGTGCCCTGTATGTTCCCAGTGTCACGGCGGGTCTCTCCTCCCCGGACTCTCAGTCTCTGGGTTTGGTTTATTTATTTTTGTTTATTTTTTTTTTTTGTATTTGTTTTTTTTTTTTCGTTTGGTTTTATTTGCTTTTGAAAGCTGTGGGGCCCCTCCGGCTGCCGCTTGTCTATGCATTGTGTCTGTGACTCCTGACTGTCCGTGTTTGAGCCAGTCTTGCCAAGAAAACAGTATCAAGTATTTTTTCCTATTTCTCTACGTCTTGGGGGGAAAATATATATATAATTTTTCTTTTAATTTAAAGTTTAAAAAAAAAAAAAACTCTTAATGGGAACCTGGCCCTGTCTGTCTTCTCTGTTCTGCAG